CCCCAAAACCCCAAAACCCCATAGATAAATTTATCAAATTTTAAAGACAGATGGATATATTTTCTATTTTTTAATCTTTATCATTTTTATCGAACCTTATCCTCTTATCTATAGAGCTCATCCTTAATAATCCTATCAATATAAATATCATCATCATCTTTATAAGAGTTATCAGATAAATGTCTTGTGTTTTATGAGATATCAAAAAAATTTTCAATATCTCTCATTTAGATTTTTTCATTTTTAGCTTATTTATTAGTAGAGGGTTATTTTGATGATTTAGAATTTAATCTTTAAGTATTTCTAGTAGGCTTTGAGACATTTCTCTCTTTAGAGGGAATTGAAACTGAATTGTGGTTTAGGTCTTTTTGGAACTAAGTATTTAAGTTGTTTAAAATGCCGATATTCATTTACTTATCTAGATGAGTAGCTTTTTCACAGGATAGTTCGAATCGATGTTTTTAAGAATTCTTCTAGCAACTTTAGAAGTCTAAGACTCTATTATTAATTGCGATAAAAACTGTTTTAATTCTATTTTCTAGAAATCACTCATTCCTTTCCATTCATAAATTTATTATTAACTATCTTTCTTGGACTAATCATCAACCTTATACTTGTTTTCTAATTTCTACTTTAAAATTTCTATAGTTATTTTCTAAGGCTAAGCCTCATTAAGCTCAACTAAGTTCGCCTTTGAATAAATCATAAGTTGCCTTTGATATCTTGACAAAATGATCTTGTTAAGAAATTTTAGACCGACCATAGTTTTCATTATTTTTTGTAATTCTAATTGACCTTCAATTGTCTCTTTTGCCTTCTGATAAAGTCTGTATCTTTTGTTAGCTGAGATACCACTGAATATCCTACAACAACTTAACATCGCACATAATAACTCACAAAGTGGTAAGTTGAACCTTATTCTATTCTTTATATTATCGAGTAATTTTTCATACTGCCCACCAGATGTAATTTACCCTTTTTCATAATTTTTCTTTAAATAATCCTAGGTTGTACTCAGCTTGTTGATACTATTCATAGAAGTATTGCTACTCTACTAATTAGAATTTTAGATATGCTTTCTGGTCTTAGAGTCTTAGAGATAACTTTTATGAACAAAGTACTAATCATTTATAACTGATCTGAAAAATAAGTATTCTTATAGTTTTTTAAGCCCCATTGACAGAATTAAAGCTAATGATCCTAGCATTCCACCAGTGGATGATAAGGCATCAGAGATTGTGTAAACCTATCTCTTTGTTATTTAAACGTTCTCATCAAGTATAAAGTAGACTTGAAAATTATCAGAGAATAGCAAGTTTTATGTAGTTGTTAAAAATGAACTTTCAGAGCTGATACTTGAGTAAGTCAAATCCCTCTCTCCAAATTAATTAGAGAAAATGGAGTCACTTAGAAGAGCTTAATTCTAACTTACTTTCAAGATATAGTTTTAAGATAGATTTGGTACTGTCGTAGCAACCAAAGTTTTGATTAAGGTCTTTACAGGTTATGAAGATTAGTCATTCACGTCAAAATATTGACTCATATAAGCAATGTTTACATTGAGTGAGCTCATTACTTTATCGATTTCAGCTTAAGATGCACATCTTTTTTTAGTACTATTAGTATTCTCTTAGCATTAGGAGACTGATAATTTTAAAAAGCTAGAATTTTTGCCTTGCAAGTTTCCATATAGGTCGAAGTTTAGACTTAGAGGACATTGATAGTCAACTTATAATCCAAATTCCTAAGTTTAAGAACTTTCCCCATTGAATCTGCTATCATCACATTTACCGAGAGGAATATCATTAGCCTTCAATGAAAACATTCCATCACTTGTTCTGAGGACTTAATATTGTCTCAAATTAACACTCACGAATTTATCTATGTTTTGCTTTAGATAATCGTTTCCAATTATGCTGACTTAATAAGCAATGTCAAAGTTTTTCAGAGTAAACTTCTACGTAGATGTCTCCTCAGCATAATTTCTGACGTACATGCTATTTACTATAGTACTTTTCCTGTTATAGACCTGTACTAGCTCATTTACAAGATAGACTACAATACAAATTCTGAAGAAGATAGAAATCAATCCTCCGAATAATGATTAATATGTAGAACTCTTCTTATAGGTAAGAGTAATTGGGTGACCAAAGAGATCTTTAGTTGTTACAAAAGACTTTATCTAGCTCCAGAAGCTTGTTTTTGAATCTGATTTTATCATTTAATTAAATGCTTAAGCTTAAAAAGTTTATAGCTTTCACTAAATTTTAACTAAATATATAATTTTCTAGAAATAGTAAAAAATGGCAATCACGGGGTTTTGGGGTTTTGGGGTTTTGGGG